TTTGTAATAAATTACGAACTTTCGTTTGTGGCACAGCCTCATTTGTGGCGTGCCAGCATCACCTTTCCCCAAGGCGACTGCCACGCCCTCGCCGCCCCTAATGGATTTCCAATGCTAATGTGTGTGGGAAAAGCAGGCGGCAAAAAGTGAGAGTTTGCGGCCACAGATGAGTTATGAAATCGAACTCCAAAGCCATAGGTTTGTTATTGAAACTCGAATATTCTGGTCTCCGTGGAGGCTTGTCTTCAACGAAAGGAAAGCCACTGGAAGTGGCTGGTTATGATGAATGCTCAAAAAATGCGGGAGGCAGTGTAAGTCATAAGTGTAACTGTGAAGAAATTAATAGCTTATCCATGGGTTAAGCAAACAAAATATAAATTTCAATTCAAACTCGGCTATTTTTCCTCATCTAACCTGCCCCTGCAGTTGTTTTATCTACCAACAAGCCGAGCTCTACACCTGTTCACATCCATTTAACCCCTTTAAGCCAATTAGGTCCCTAATAAAACCAATAAATCAGCCGAAATTAACGCTGCCTGCACTCGGGGCAATGCTTTCGGAACGTGTTAACCCTTTTTTTTTGTTACAGTATGAAAATGACATTAGCCAAGCGCCGCCGCCAGACCGCGGCTAGACAAAAAGCCAGACAAGACAAAAAAAACAAAAACACACGGCAAAATAGAGGCAGTCAGTGCGCGAATGGGCATTCTGGAGAACACGCAAAACCACTCTTAACTCGTTTACTTTATTTATGGCCATAATTTGTTAGGCAAAAGGTCGAAAACTAAACGCAAAACTCAGCCGAAAGGGTGCAGCCGGCAGAGGAGGAAGCGAGCGGAAACGCGGCAAGGTGCGATGCATAATTAAGATAATAAAATATTAATTAAAATTAGGTTCATGCATATGCAAACACGAGAAGGGAAGGGAAGTGAAGGGCCTGGTCGCAGTGAGACAATCTGACAAGGGCGGAGGAGACAAATATTTGCATGGGTCTCTCTGCACGATAATGACGTTGATTAGGACGATGACGTTGCCGTTGATAGCCTCGTTATTGGCCCCAGCGACTTGCTTTTAATTAATTAATTAAAAATGCAGAACAAAGTTGGTTTTTGCTTTATGCAAATTTTCACATGACCAAAGCCAAACACCTGCAAAAAAGCAGGCGACAGAAATTAATGCAAAGCCCCCGAAAGGGTTAGATGGCCGTTGGGGATAAAACAGAAACGATTTAAAGAATGTCCATCAGGCAGAGGAATATTTTTGAAATATGCTCTCTACAAGGGGAACTTTATTTTGAAATCGATTTAAAGTTGAGATTTAATTTTAAAGATTTTAATTGGGCAGGGTATAATATTTTAATTTGTTTTATAACATTTTTACTTAACAATTTCTTGCATTTTATTTTTCTATATATATTTAAATTTCCTACAAAGTCCTTGTAATGTTTACCATTTTCAGAGTATTACCAAAATTCGCGTAAGCCGCTCTCTCAATTTTTTTATTATGTCTCTTTTTTTTGGCCAAGTTAACCCTTGTTAGCTAATGGAAATCCGATGTTTACCTTTAGGCTTAGGGCGTGTTTAAACACAGAAAAAAGGCAGAACAAATTTGAGATATAACCGCTAAGCGAGAAATCTGATACATTCGGCTTTGACTTTGCGTCTTTGCATAACTTATTTGGATTTGGCTTTCATTATGTATGTTGTTCCTCTTTTTTTCAGACAGCTTATGGATAATTTTGGGCCTGGGCCAACCGCTTAATCACCTTTGGCTGACACATGTGGGCAACTAATTTGTGAATACTTCTTCCCTGGCCAATTGGAAATGTCAAGAGGAATGGCTCTCGGGATTGGGGCTCGGATTTGGAGTGAAAGCGAAAGCAATCTACGGGCTCGGTAGACCAAAAATATTTGACACACGCGTGAGGTGAGGCGGCGACCCTTGCTCCCATGATTGATGGGTGACCCCGATTCTCCCCCCTCGGCTAACCTTATATTTTATTTTTGTTTTTTTGCTTTGCTGCATTAATTAACTAATTTAATTTCGGTTTTATTTTTTTCGGCATTCGTGTGCGAGTTCTCATTTCGGAGTTGGAAAATTTATGCAGACGCAGCATTTTCAGAGGGAATTTTCGCGGGGTGATCCCCAAAGGGCCTTATCGCCGGGAACAGAGCTTTCACTCTCTCCCCAGTCCGGCCTTCATTGTCATTATTTACGCATGCCTGGGGGCGTGGCTGGTTGCATTTGATTGACCCTGATGAATTTTGACAGGCGAAATAGCCAGATAGGCGCCATAAATTCATCCGCTGCGGCATTTTAAAATGTTTCACAATTTTCCACACATTCCGGGCGTATTTATTTGCATTCCTAATGATGTCCGGCCATCGGCCCTGTTTCCACCACTTCCCCCCCAGAGCCAACTGTCCAAATAAATCGTCAAACCATCAATTTTTAGTGGATCTTTGGTCATTTCGATATGGACATGAACATAATGTCCATGCTTGTGTCCTATCACTATCGTTATGATGAATGCCATTCTGGCAAATGGACTAATTTCGCATAGACATCAAGAGGACTGTGGATTTATGCCTGGATTTGTGAGGATTTAGGGAAAGGGGTTTGTGGCAGGACTCTTTGAAAATTTGCAAGTTGATTGTATGGAAATCAGGGAGATTTACTTGTAGATTTTTGCTTTGACTCTCCGACTATAAGTTTTGTTTATTCCCCAAATTATGATATTCCCCCTAAGTCCCTTAAAGCCAGACAGCACTGACATTTCTTTGCCTCAAAAATACCGACCGTTCCTGTCCGGAAAATATTTTACCTGCTTCATATTTTACCAAAAAATATTTCATAATTTTCTGGCTCTGCTGTGCCGTGCCTCCCGATGCTCACCCAATTAAATTTGTGAATTTTTGCGGGACCCAAAGCAAAACATTTTCGACCAAAAGTGGCCGACAGGAGGAGACAATGACAAGGATGTCAACGTTGCCGCTTTTTTAAAACGCAAATTCCATGAAAGCACTCGGCATGTCAGCGTTTTGGTAGCCGTGTCTGGACCAGGTCCACAAGTTATAGCCAAGAGGGGCCATGGGCGGGGGGGCTTAGAAAAACATGAAAAATTTAAACAAGCCGGCAAGACGAACGAGCGAACGAACGAACGAACATTCTACGTCGGGATCGGTTCGTTCTGTGTTTTCGTCCGTCTGCAAAAATTGCAAGTGACAGGCAATTCATCATTCATTTGGCTTCGGACTTGACTGACTGACCAGCATCGGTTCGGGAATCGCACATGGTATCCGGGAGGGGTTCGGGAGGCATCCAGGAGCCACCGCCTTCGACGGATGATGGGGCGACACGGACTCCTTTTTTGTCTGTGGCATGCAATTTTATGGCCAGCAAACTTTTAGCATAGCCATCGCTTTGACAATTTAATGCATTTAAAGCTTTACAAGAGCAGGTCCTAGTCTGCCCAGCAAGCAGCCTCGACCGCCCATGGTAGGGGCACAGTGGGTGTGGTGGGAGTGTCTAAAGGTAATATTACCTTGAGTGGTGACAGTGTTAACCAGGTGTGGAATATGGAATGAGTACTAATCATTTTTTTTATTAAAAAAATTTTAAATATTTTATTTCCTTAGAAAGTTTAAACACTCCCACAGTTCAGCCTCTCATCCCACCATGTCACCAAAATGGAACCTTTTACTTGGCATTCCTAGGAGGCATCCACTCTACTGCCACCCACTGTAGGAGCGATGCCTAGTGTTTCGTTCTTTGGGAATTTTAAATTGTTTTAATGCGTGCGTCGAGCATCCTGAGACCAGAGACCACGCCCCGTCTCGTCGTCTACGTCTATGGATGATTTCGTCACAGCGAAGGAGGAGGCGTAACAGACCCCTCCTGCAGGATCAATCAATTTTTTAGCACTGGCAGCATACACACACACACACAAGCCGGAGCTGATGAAGTGCTGCCTCTGGGACTGAATCTCAAAAACTGTTTAATATGCAGCGAGTGACACCGCCGAGCGCGATGACATTGAGCAACTGCACCAATTTCGGAGTGAGCTGGAGAAGCTGTAGGAGCTGTAGGAGCTGTAGAATCTGGAGGTGTGTCTCCACCTCTTGCATGGATGCAATGCCATCCATCTTTTATCGGTTTACTGCAGTTCATAAATTTTTAAACGCTTGCCGGCGCGCGAACCAAAACAAACAAGTTTTTGGGATGGCAACCAGAAACGGGCAGGCGGCCCGCAACGAGTGTGTGGACAAAAGGGAGACAGACACACGCATGTAATCAATTTTTATATTTTAGAAGAAGAATCCCCCCAAGTGGGGCAGGTGCTCTGCGTCCGCGTCCAGCTCTATTATAATTGGATTACCCGTTGGAGTTGGAGTTGGAGTTGGAGTCGGGGCCAGACGAAGTTAAACTGAATCTTCTCGCATTCTCTTACTCGGCGAAAAGTAGTCTGGGGGGTCTTGGTTCTGGTTCTGGCTCTGGCCAACTCCCAGGTTCAAGCTGCATTAATGCACCCTCTCAAGGGGTTTCTTGTAAGTGGCTTGAACATGGTTGAAATGGAATAAGAAGTGGTCAGGTTTCTCTCTTTTATCTATATACATAATACTTATTTTCGGATTGTAGAACATAAAATTGGTTAGGGTATTTAAATGCTCGACTATTTATGCTACTCTTTCCCCTTAATAAGTGGCTTTTGCTAAACAGTTAAGAATGGAGGCAGCTGCTTTGACTTTTAAGGCTCTTTGTCTGAGGACTAATTTCATGTTAATCTTGGAACCAAGCAGTTAAGTCAAGTTTGTCATTAAAATGTATAAAAATCAAACAAAGATTAATAAAGCTAATAGTTAAGTTTGGCTTTTCTACCTTTAAAATTTATTACCAGATTAAAAAAAAACCTAAACAATAATATTCCTTATTTGAAGCAACCTTTGGAACAAACTTCATATCCCGAAGAGCTCCCTTTCCGCTTTTTTCTTTCACTTCCGACATGTTTCTGATTTGGCATTGGCGTCCCGTCTACTGTCTGATCCACGGTCCGAAGAGCCAGGAAACAGCTAAGCTCCGCCTCGTCCGAGGGATTGTTAGCTTCTTCGTGGGCCTGGTCACTGGCTACCTGATATGGGAGATGGTGGCGCTGAACTTCACCATGGCCCGGGATGGCATCAATTGGATTGTGCTGATGGGCTTGGTCCTGCTGACGGCCATACTCTTTGCGCTGATCCGCTGCATCCGAACTCTGGTCATGCTGACCTTTGTGCAGCTGGCGGGAAGGGCGGGCACCTTGTACCTGCGGGCAATGGCCTTTGCCTTAATCATTGCCGGACCCATAGATAACCTGGTGACCAATGCAGGTGAAGTTTCCCGTGTGTTCGTCTGCAGCGGTGTGCTGACCTACAATCTGTCCAAGACGCGCTTCGACCTGATGGCCAAGCCCTTTACGAACACCCTGAAGGACATGGACAGGGACGTGGACGAGATACGGCAGACCTTCGGGGAGCTGCAAGGTGTGCTGGGCGATCTCAAACATGCCGTAGAGCAGTCCGACTTTGCCGAAGAAAACGCAGAGACCGGGATGTACAAGCGCAACCTTAGCAATACGGATGCGGGCGAAGGAGAGGAGCTGCCCACTGCCGACGAGATGCAGCAGCGCTTTAAGATGAACATGAAGAACCGATGCAAGCACCAGCTGGACAGTGGCCAGCGCGTCTGCGAGCAGGTGTTTCGGGAGGGCTACCGCAAGTGCACCACAAACTTTCAGTGGTGGATTGGCAAGGTCATCTGCTGGCCGTACCGCGTGGATATCATCTGCGAGGTGGACATCTTCGGTGATCCGGACAAGATATGCGATCCCTCGGAGGTGGTGCCGGGCAATTTCGGGGAAACCTATGTGGAGCTACTGCGGACAGAGCAGGAGCTTTTTAACAACAGCTCCGAGATCGTGGTAAGTTACAAGCTGCGGGACGAGGAGCAAGCCAAGACCCACGTAAAGTCCGCCGAACGCACAGCGGAGGGATTCGCCAAGGACTTTGAGCGGCATCGCAAGAGATTCAAGAGGATCATGGGCGTGATCGAGATGTGTCTGTGCCTGTTCATGCTGCGGCTTCCCTTCTATTCGCTGAGGTACTACTACTGGTACTTGACCAACCTGGAGCACGACAACATATACATCACCGACTATTTCAAGCACGTGGACCGGCGGGTTAAGAAGAAGGGCAGCGAGTCGATCCTACCATTGCGCACCTACGAAAAAGCTCGGTACTTCGACCTGGATCGCTGGTGTGGACGCACCACCAAGGAGTCCGACAAGACCTTCTACACCCTGCTACGGTTCTTCCTGGAGTTAACTACTGCGGTCATCTTTATCCTGTTTGACCGTATAGTCGTCGAGCTGCTGCAGATCATCCGGCAGCGATCGCTGATCAGGTATGATCAGAAGGGAGAGCACGAAGTGCGTTTTAATGTGAGTATCTGGAGGGGTCTCCTTCTGCCTTTAGGTAATCCCTATAGCAATCCTTGACAGATCACCGGCGTGGGCAAGATGGCACAACTACTGCGCGTCACGATGCGCAACTTCAACATCAACGAGAACGTCTCCACGTCGCTCAGCAACGAGGAATGCCTGCCGAACCCACACGTCCTGCCCAACAGCTTCTACTACTGGCTAATCCTGCTCTACCTGGCCATCTTCGTGGTGATCCTCCAGTCGCATACATTCCTGCGGCAGCGGCGGGTTATCTGCAGCTACTTCTACGAGAAGCGCGAGAAGCAGCGCATCCTCTACCTGTACAACCGCATCCTGCGGCAGCGAATAATGGCGCTGCAAAACCTGGTGGAGGATGTGGAGGACAACCTGGCCCACTATAAGGTCCGCATGAATTTGAATCCGCTGCTGCAGCTCCGTTCAGCCTATCCGGAGACCTTCGACTGGCTGCGCTACCTTCCCTGCGGCAAGCTGAGCTGTCTGGTCTGCTGCGATCCGGAGGACAAAGAGTTCGTCCTGTGCCACTCCTGCAGGGTGCCCTACTGCGACACCTGTGCCGAGGAGATGAACCACGTTTGCATCAACTGCGATGCGATACTCACCATGCGCCATCGTTTGGATAAAATGGACGAGGCCAGCATCGATGTGTACATCTACAGGAAGTCGCAGTGAGACGCGAAGTATCATTATTGAGCATTTTTATATGAGCTTTAGATAATCTTCATATTGTTACAAACATAGTCAACTTCCATAGTTTCTCCGAAAGGATTACAGCGAGGAACCGCCCCAAATGATTCTCCTTTGTTTAACATTAACAATTTATAAAGCTATTTAATGGCATTACCAAAGTTTCTCGTGTGTGCTAAAAGCAATGGCAAAAGTTTACCCTTTGAATTGGAAATGCTGCACCCGTTCGGGGAATACTTGGTAATCATCTTCGTGGAACTCTACTCGGTCCCTTGATCCCATCACTGGCACTACCCTTTATTAACTGTCCTGCTCTATGATAATCATATCTCCAGCTTAATTGCCATTTTTCCAGTCTGTCAAACTTAATTCCCAGCATTTCCTCGGCCGATGGCACTGTCTAGCAGTTGTCTACAGCAAGTTGGAGAACATTTCTTTGCAACAACAAACATCGCTCAATTAGTTGTCCACCCTTTGTGTTTGGCCCTGGGCCTCGGGCCCCCGTCTCCACTTTCCTCGGCATAATTATGCACATGTCTGGTGGGAGGAAAACTTTTTGTCCTTAGACAAACTTTGCTCAAGCGGCGCTGATTCGATTATGCCACTGGGAAGGCGAGCTGGAGAGGAACGCTCCAGCACTAGCCCTACTACACTCGGCTGCAAGGATTAAGTTGCAAAATTGTTAATTAAAAATAATAAAAACGCTAATTGAAGAAATGCCTACAGAAATGCGGCAAGTCCTTTTGCAGCAAAGTGAAAGCGGAACAAAAGTTTTTCGGTTGCAAATTGTCTAGACTCGAGACTCCCAGGGATCAGCCGAGATGATAGGATGGGACGCCTCACGGGCACCTTCCTCGTCTGACTTCTGGGAGGAAACAAGTTGCAACAATGATGTGGACAAAGTCTTGCCCCTACTTTAATATTCATAAGACTTTCAGTCTGCAATAATATAATTATGCAAACATGAAGGAACCACAAACGGGAGGCGCTCCCTGTGTGTTTCCATTGAAATTACACACATATGGCGTGGGCGGAGAGATCCCAAAAAAATACGACGGATTTTCTGAGGAAAAACAAACATCCCGGCAAAGGTTGAATCCTCAGTCAGACCGGCCGGCATTCCGTGTGCTGAGGTGATTATTTGACGTTCACACCTTGTTGCAATGACTCCACCATCATCCATTCTAGCCTGCGAAATAATGGGGCGAGGTCGTCGACGTCCGTCGGCGGCGGTGGCGGTTGTTGTGATCAGCCACAAAAGTGACAGGTGTGACACTCTGCCTGACAGTGGCGGAGCACCCGGAGCACTCCACTCCATTCCACTGTTGCAGGCCCTCCTTCTCTTTCAGAGAACTCCAGCCGTCCGCAGACTATAAAGACGCAACTGGACGAGACGAGACACTCACTGGTGGTGAAGAAACGGAAAAAACGCTGGAAAAAACCAGCGGAGAATTATTTCCTAGAAAAATGCAGACGAATGGCTGCAGAAATGGGAGAGAAATGGAGCTGAGAGTAAGCTATGGGCTGGGGAATACTCTTGGTAAGAGAAACATATAAAAAGCTTTGCTAGATTCTATAGAATATAGAAAAGCATTGTAAATATAAATAAAATAAAAATAAATAAAATATTATACAATTTGGATATAAAACTAAAATAATTATAGATTGTCTTTAAGAAATATTAAACTATGTTCGAAACAGAAAACAGATTTTCTTAAAAGAATGACCAGTGCTTAGTACAAATATTTTGAAAAGTCAAACCTAATTCCTATGCAGACAGTCACCTGGAGAAGAGTATATCAAAATATCATAGTTGGAGGGAAAATGGGCAAAGTGCTGAAAAATAATCGGGCCGAGTCCCTCAACTGCCTTTATCATCACGGGCTCAACTTGGCGTTGATAATGAAGGAAGCGGATGAAAACGATGGCCCACGGATGGTTGGATGCTCGCTGGTCAGTGCATTGTTTGCTTCCTTCTTTATTTTTTTGTAGTTTTTTTTACAAGTTTTTTTTTCTTGTTGTTTTCTGTTCCAGCGGTTTGCCTGCAATTTGCGAGTGAGCCCCGAGTCCAGGGTCCCACAGCACAGACACTGAGCCGGCGAGAGAACTATTTAGCAGGGGCAATCCGCGGAGGGATCCGTTCCATCCGCAAAGCAGCAGGTGGTAAAGCGTAGAGAAATATGGTGCGGAACATTTCAATTAGAAAAGCGGCAAAGCGGCAGAAACGGAGCGCAGAGTGAGGGAATCGCGGACAGCCGTCAGCCTGTCGTCGCCCCCAATCAGTGTGTCCCTGTGCCCCTTTTCCTGCTTCCTCCTGGTTATCCAGCTCTACAGAGCTCTCCACCAGTGGAATCGCTCCCCGCCTTTGAAGTTCCTCGTCTGACACTGACGAACCGCGAACGAGAACGCGCAGCTCAGCTCTGTGCCTGCCATTATTTCAATAAAAATTCTTTAATATTATTTCGAGTTTGTTATGGCAGGTTAGTTTGTTCTCCCTTTGTGCCCGTATTTAATCTTCATAATTAAAATTTTAGCAAAAAAAAAACGCAGACTAAGGCGCCGACGGGTGCAAAGAAGCGCAAACGTGTTAAAAATTGATTAAAGTAATTGATTTGAAAAGGTTGTCGGTGATGGGTTTTGATTTTTTGTGGATTATTCTCAGCCACTCTCTGCCTTCTTATGGTTTTTTTTCGCTTTGTTATATTCTTTGTGGACAGGTAACTCAATTAAAGCGGCAAGCGATGTTTGCCTTTATTTATATAAAGTTTTTATTCGAATATATGGGAGAAGGATAAGCCCAGATGAGAGATGAATGTTCACTTGGAAAAAATTAATGGATTTATTGATACTTTAAGTTAGAAATAAAGTTCCTAAGATAAGGTAAATGGTTGTTTTAAATACCCTATTAGGTAAATTACCATTTGAAGATTAAATTTACCATTTACCTTGCTAAAGAAAAAGCTAATTTTTTATTTTAAATATATTTATTCAAAAAGTAAAGCCTTCATTTATTTTCTGTGCACATAAATCCCCATTCAAGGTGAGTTCTTTGGGCTTGGAATGCGATAGCCAACTATCTTTTTGATCTCCTCTTTTTCCCACAGAGCAAATCGCTAATTGGATTCCTCACACGGCAAAATATGAACGTGCGAGTGCATTTATTTCGCCGTCGCATAGAAATCATTCGGCAACCGCATGGAAATCTCAGCTTTGTCAAGTCTAACTCCAAACACCCAGACCCAATTCTCGCACAGCACAGCGAAGAGGGGAGTGTGCACCGCAAATCTTTCACTCGGCTTTATATTCACCCACTTTTTGTATATTTTCTCGCAATAAAAACGACAAAAAAACGAGAAGGAAACTCCCCTGTGCGTGTTGAACTCAGACTTTTGTGCCGGGGATCGGTTTGTTGGCTCAGCTCAGCTAACGCCTTTTCGGTCTTTCACAGCCAAAGCGCGAAAGAGTTAAAAGGCGAAGCGCAGAAGGCAAAGCAAAGGCAGAGCAGAGCAAAAGCACAGAGCACAAGCACCAGGCACCAGCACCAAAGCATTTTCACCCTATTATTTCGAGCAATTTCATCAAAACTAGACTGGGGCCCGGCCTCTGCTCCAAATTGTAACCGCAAAACCTCCCAGTCCAGATGCCCGGCTGCCAGTTGCCCAGTTGGCCAGCAGCAAAGATGAGCTCGTGAGTCACGAGGGGGTTCATAAATACTTAAAATATATTATTTTATTAAGTTGTACTTTCAACATATTATTTTATATTCCAGAAATACTTGATCCTTCCATCATGTTATAGTATAAAGTCATATATCCCCTAACTTTGCCATCCCTGATCCGTTTGCGGTTTCCTAGCTTCGTTTCCAGCGCTTTTTGTCCACTTCTTGCGACTCCCCGGTTCTTGTGCCATCGAGTTGCTATAGAAGGCAGACAGGAGCAGGTTTTTTCTTCCCTCTCCAACTCTCTCTCCCTCCCAAATGGCCAGCAAACGGACTGTGTTTTTCTTATTTGGTTTCCACTTTTATGTAGATTGGTATTTATTTTCCTCGCGAAAACTAGCGAAAACTGGGCGAAAAAAATAAACCTAGGCCAGTAGTAGTTCTCACACTACGATTGAGGATGGGTTGGGATGGGTTGGGGTCTGGGTTCGGGGCTGGGTCCCCTGGCCTGCGGTTCCTTGACTCCCCTCATCGCTCTTATTATCGCGTCAAGCGGGCAGGCAACAAAAAAAGCACCAGGCACCGGGCACCAACAAAGAAGTGAGTGCAACTATTTTGCGGTCGGCTGCCTGACAAATGGCAGCCAACGCCATCGGAGCATTTAGCCAAAGTCCAACTGTGACTCCAGATCCAAGTCCGACTCCGTCTGTCGGAAGTAGCACAGAAAGCTGCCGCCACTGACCGCCCCATGGGATTTGGAGCTGGATGTGGATTTTGCTGTGGATGTGGTTGTAATGTAGGCTCAATCTCAAGCCATCAGTTTACCCTTACCAACGGGGTTTACAGAAATATTTCAAGTCAAAACGAAAATATTAAATGAATATTAAATATTTATTTAATTTAATTTGTAATTTATTTGGCTAATCGGAACACCGGACACAGTTAGATCTGTTGACTGAGGTTAAGGCAATATAAAATTTACAGGGCAGAAAGTTTCTCCTTGACAGCTTTGTAATCATCTGAGTAAAACTACAATATTCTCTAAGAGTATACAAAGAAAGGTATATAAGAAAGTTCCTCTATCTTTAAAAGAGCATTCCCAATTCGTCATCTCTGATGGAAATTATTCCTGCCTTTTCTCCATGGCCTGAGACCATTGCCTGGTAATTAGATTTAGTTTAGCGCACAGATTTTGATACGTTAATTGTGAATTGTGCAAATACATATAATTGAGCTGGGTGGTTTCCTCATCGCTTGCGAAAAGGGAGCAGAGCCTCATCTAGAGCCGGTCTTGCCTGGTTGACTCTAGTTTCTTTTTTTCTTGAGTTGTCTTGGCATTCCGCTTTAGTTTTACTAAATTAGCACCCGACCCGCTGCTCCTCGTACCTGTCCCTCTCCATTCTGGCGTGAAGAAGACAAATGCTTGGCATTCTT